TTTTATACTGAGAGACAGATTGAAATCAAGTCAAAGTTTTTGAAATACAGAAAATGCCAATAGCTCTAAACGAAATTGGTGGTCCTATGTGAATACGTAGTACAATACATCAACTGCAGGTGCACAGTATTAGACCATATTTAATGGTAAGCACAAAAAAGACTAGAATGATACACATTTTAAGGTTAAATGATCATTTACCTGCTCATCAGAGTATCTCTCTGAATGTGATGATATTGAACCAGAGCTTTCACTTTCACCCGGACTCTTCTCAGAAGATCTCTTCTTCCATAACCATTTCCTCTTTTCCATCTCAATAGCCAATCAAATCTCCCACAAGCTCATAATCATAAAGAAGTATTCAAATCTGTAGATACAACCACAAATTGCATTGAAATAAAACCAAAGCAATAAAAAATAACCCTACATAAATTGCACAAATATATGATTAATCACAATAATCTCCTTTTGAGAGAAAAAATGTAGCAGATTTATTGAAATCCTGAAGATATGAGTTGGCTCATCTTTGCTTCGAATCCAACCAACTGAACACATCCAACCTCAACAAAACTAACAAGACTTTTATAGTTGCGGTAAACTAAGAAACAAAACAAACAGCTATGTGTTGATACGGGGATGACGTGAAAAAATAAAAGTAACCAATTGAGGCGCGGGGACAGTAATATCAGAAAACCACTAGGTTATAACCAATCAAAGATTCATTCTNAACAAAACAAACAGCTATGTGTTGGAACGGGGAGGGGACAGAAATATCAGAAAACCACTAGGTATAACCAATCAAAGATTCATTCTTTGAAGTACCAAAAATATCCATATCAAAAAATTTAAAAAATGGAAAAACAAAAAGATTTAAATAGAACAGTACCTAGCAACAGAAATGTACCCGAGATGAAGATTCAAGAATGTCCAACTGAAAAGATCCAATCTTGGAGCCATAAATCCAAAATAATTAGCAGGAAACTCACTTTATTTCCCAACAGTTATTTTCATACTTAAATTTTTTTTCTTGGGTTTTTGGAGTTCCCAATAAAAAAAATCCAGCTAATTCAAGATCTGTAGAATGCCGGGAAGAATTCAGACAACACCCACAAATCTTATCTCCAAGATAATTTTTGGGGATTTTAGCATCGAGTTTTGAGACGCGCATGTGAGGTTTGAGTGAATTGGG